AAACCATGAAAACTGTTTGAAAAGGGCTTCTGAGACATATAAAAAGCAGGCAGATAAAAAAGGGCTCCTCAAAGGACATTCCAAGTTGGGGAAAAGGTTTATTTGTCCACAAAATATTTATGCCTTAAGTTATCTAATAAGAAGTTAAAACCGAAGTACTTAGGACCCTTCCCCGTTGTAAGGATCATTAACCCGGTCATGGTAGAATTAAAGCTTCCCAGACTCTTAGGGAAAGTCCACCCTGTGTTCCATTGTAGCCTGCTGAAACCTTTTTGGGATTCCACCTTAAGACCTCCCCCTAAGAAGGCACCTGGACCTTTCATAGTAGCAGGATAGACTCACTATGAAGTGAAGCATATTCTTGATTCTAGATTTTTTTAAAGGGTAATGGCAGTACTTAGTGCAATGGAAGGGGTATCCGTTGGCTGAAGCTACCTGAGTGAAATATAAGAAATATAAATGGAATAAATAAATAAAAACAACAATTGTACAAGCCTAGGGGGGAAAATGATTCAAACTTATGTTTTTCTTTAGCTACAAACCCTTGTTCATGAAATGACCAGCTTCACAGTTATAGAGGTGTTACAACGAGTAAAAGCTTAGAAGAAGAAAAAATCCTTTTTCCCTCTGTTGGAGGAATGTCCTCCTTTTGGTTCATCTCTTGTTCAGGTTAATTGTCCTCACTGTTAGAAAGTTTCTCCTTAGTTCCAGGTTGCTTCTCTCCTTGATTAGTTTCCATCCATTGTTTTTTGTCCTGCCTATAGGTGCTTTGTTAAATAAATTGACCTCCCTCCTCTTTGTGGCAACCTCTCAAATACTGGAATACTGGAATATCATGTCACCACTAGTCCTTCTTTTCTATCAATTATTCTTCTGAAAGAGCAACATCCAGAACTGCATCAACTGTCCAGGTGTGATCCCATTAGTGCAGATCACAGGAGAAGAAGGATTTCATGTGTATTGATCTGTAGATATGGTTGTACTATAAGGCTGCAGTCCTACACACTTTTATCTGTTGATCTCAATGTTATTTCCTTTTAATAAGCACATACAGGCCCATTATACACAAGGTATCTGTAGTTTGCTAGGGCATCTGTAGATTTTTGTCAAAATGAGGGAAGCAGCATTGTAATATGCATCACGAGTTGGACCTCTTTCATATGTGTGGCTAATGATATCACACATATACAAATATGAGATTTTTGACACAACAGTGTAATACTGTTTGCACATTTGCCTCCTTTGTGGAAAGCCTTCACTATAAAGTTTCTTTGTGCTAGTGGTCATACAGAAGAGAACATTTGGTATGGATTAGAACCAAGAGCTTATTTCTTTCAAACCTAATTTAATTTCTGTACTAAAGCAAAATAAAATTTATAAGGAATTCTGTTATCAGGAACAATAGAAGCTTCTTAGTCATTGTCTTTCATAATTGCTCAAATTTTTTTGCATAGAATAAGATAGTAAATTCTTATAGGTAAGTATACTTTTTTATTCTGCAAGAGTTCGTCCACTTAAAAATAAGTATGTAATATCAAATATGTAAATATCCGTAAGAGGTGAAAGGAACGAGTGGTGTCCTGAAAGCAGCTTTTTTTCAGACTGTTGGACTCCAGCTCTTATAATTTTTGATTCATCACATAACCCAACAAAAAGCTGTGTTGGGATTATCAGACATGACATCTGGCACATCTGGAGACCGAGGAAGGCACTACCAATTCTTCTTGAACAACCTAAATATGTTTATCCTCATGCAGAGAATCAGAACCTGAGAGATGTATAGCACTGATGGTTTCTTTAGTTTTTGCAGTACAGCTCATATTTCAACATCATCCCAAGCTTAGTTTTTGCTACACTCTCCTCAAATTTTCTGTCCATTCTTTCACTCTGGCTTTCTGAGAAGACAGATGTCCAATCACCTACTATGCCTAGAAAAAGAAAAAGAAAAAGAAAGAAAAGAAGAATTATAGTGGTAGGTGGAGGGTGGGAAGCTAAGGGGAGAGAAAGTCTTTCTCCCAAAGAATAGCTATTCTTCAAACCTCTGTGGAGATTCTCATTCATCCAGATCACAGTTGTCTCAAAGGGGCTTTTTCAAAAGGCAATTGGACATTTTTTTCCCCCTTGAGGAAGAAAAAGACATTTTGCTTCTCATCCAAGAAGTTTCATCGGTTCTGGAAGGATGGTAGGGGTGATGGAAGGAATTAGTCTTCTTCTTCCTCAAGAGGAAAAACAAAAGCCCAATTGCCTTTTGAAAAAGCACCTTTGAGACATTCTTCAAAACTCCTTAAAAACAATAAATATTTTTATAGCACAATAAAGACACTTCTACGGGACATCCTTAGATGCCCAGTTCCTATGGCTTGTGAAAAGTTAATTTTAACAGGGAGATTTTATGCCTACTTAGAGAATGTCCCATACCCAATTCTCAGATTTGGCAAAGATCTCCCTCCCTTATGTTATCCCTCAAAAAGGTTCTCTTAGCTATTTCCTTTTGGATGAGAAGCATAGATTAATACATTTCAATAAGCATTTTGTAGATTACTATCAGGCTTCATACGATGGTATTTCTCCCCTTATTCAGCATTTGATTCTACTCAGCAAGAAGACTCTCAGATAGATCTTAGTGAGATTTAAATATTTATTATAGAGAAGAATGAACCCTTAAACAGAGTAATTGATTCCCCATGGCAGTGCAAAGAAGTCATATTTTAGCTATCTGTCATCTATTTATCTGTCATCCATCCATCCATCCATCCATCTTATCATCTATGCTCCAGAATTAAATCTGATTTTTTCCTCCCATCCTTCTCTTCATCCATCCATCTTATCATCTAAGCTCCAGAATTAAATCTGATTTTTTCCTCCATCCTTCCAATTAAATAGTCTCTGGATTTTCTTGGGAAGCAGGTAAAATATATTCATATAATAGTTCTCTTTAGCCAGGGAACCACTGGCTGCAGTTTTACATTCTCGTACCTTATACTTACCCATTCTAAGTAGCTAGTTATGCTTATTAATTCTTCAGACTTTTAGGGCTTTCATTCTAGTATCATCTCCTATTTAAATTTGCTTTAATTCAGTGGAAATTGCTTCTAAGTAGATAGGTTAATTCTAAGATGATTTAATTTGGATTCTTTCCTTCTAAAATTGTTACTGGTTTGATTGATGTCTTATTTTATTGTGAGTATTTTATGGCGAGATGGCTATAAATTGTGCAAACAAATAATATGCACATTTATAAGGGTGCAAATAACTGTTAAATACAATAAGTAACAATATTAAGACTGGCTGTCTATATGTAATATGAAGGTTTTTACTCTTTCCATGACAGAGTACAGATGTGGTTCCCTCCTGCAGATTTCAGTTACACTGGTCAAATTCCTCCTTTAGGTTATAGGAGTTTCAAAAACATTAATAGAAATATAATAGTTTGATGTAGTGATTAAGGCGCAAGGCAGCAAAGCTT